CTTAGAAAGGGGCCACTCAAAATAGTACTCTTTCTCCGGCTCCACAGTGGTGAAAACTGTTTTAAACTGGATATTATTCAACCTGTTTTCTAATGTTTCCACTACACTAAGGTAAACCTTTTTTCTTTTTTTAAAAGTGGAATGCAGAGAGCATTTTACTTTGGTATTGCTCATTTCTACTATTTTTTCTTCTCTGTTTCTTTGGGGATTGAAAGTTTGTTCAACATTTGTGTAAAACTCATTCAAGTCTATAACCTTTCCAATATCTGTGACCCTGTTCTTAGTCCCTTGGGAGTCAGTGTTGGAAGGTATAAACACTGGATATTACAATTGCTGAGTGAGTCTAGCCAGGAGTGAGCGGATTGGAATTTTCAAATGGTGGGAAAGAAACAGCACAAAGGCACTTGCCATTTTAATAGTGATTGGAGAAAGAGACCCTTTTAAGTTTGTTTGGGTTGGGTGAGCATTCCTCTAAAAGGAGCTTCTGAAATAAATGCAAAGGAAAAGAGTCGACTATTTTTATAGCATATTTAATATATTTGTATATAACTATGAATATAGTAAGAACCCTCCACATGCCTCCCACTTTTCTAATTTACTCCCCCTTTTGCCATAGCACTAGTATAGCCTCATCCGCATGGGTAACGTGCCTATCTATCGTCAGCCTACCAAAAGATAGTGCTGCTGCTTTCTGAGACAGGTGAGACCACCCAACTCTCATGCCCGGGGATCCTTTCTGTAGGAATAGCACACATTTTTAAAACAACGTAACACAGTCTGAAAGCATCATTTTGAAATGTAACAAGCACTTTATTGCAACTATTCATTTTGATAAAGTTTATTATCTTAGGCATTACCATTTCTAAAGGATCCCCACATCATCACTTAGGTGAAATTTTAAAATGATACATTTCTGAGAAATGTTTAGATCCAGTGAACCGTAGCAGGTTTCTGGGAGTGATTTCAAGGTAGCCAAATGAACTTTGACTTTGGTTCTGAATGTGGCGGAGTCAGGAGATTGTAGATGGCTAGTTCCATTTCGACACTATTGTAAACCTGTCTTGCCTATCGTGTGGACACCAAAAGAGACCAATGAGCCTGTTTCTTTTCAGAGGCCTAGGCCAATTGCATCAGTGTGAATAGATGTATAGAACTAACCTAAAAGTGATTGGTAGTAATGTTTTAGACTACGATAATTTCAAGAATTATTCTGGGTGTTTTAAATGTGCTCTGAAATGTTGGCATGTCATTTCAGCGTTTCCATTTGAATTGCTCTTGTAATCTCTTGCACAAAAAGGACTGAGAAAAAGACTACTTCAGTTGAAGAAAAGTATAATTTGGTCTTATTTTAAATGTGCCTCCTGTGGAAACAACGGGGGATGAATTTTGTCGGTATAGTTATTAATTCAGGATATTCAAAACAGTATTGAACAGCTCACAAGAAATTAAGCAAATGTGGACGTTTAAAAATTAAAAGTTTGTTTCCATGTGACTGTTTTGCATATTTTCCCCCTTGTCATAATTTAACACTACATTCCTTTTTTTTCTTAAATAAAATAATACTTTGCAGGTTCTGCTTTGAGTATTTAACAATATTTTGTAAGCTGCCTGGGTCTTCCTAGGGAAATGTTCTTTAGTGAAACAGGATATAGTTTATGAAGAGACTGTTTCAGTGGAATTCCATCACCACCACCAGCAAACACTGAGGTGCTGCATTACGTGACAATCAAAATAGTGAGTATTTATGGAAGAATGTAGAACGTGATTTTAAAGAAGCAATTGCTTTGAAAGCAGTTCTCTGGGTTTCTTGAATGAAAATGGCTAAATGTATTTATTTATATTTTAAAATATCTTTGTGTTTTCTCATCAGAGTGATTTCAGTGTCATGTATTTAATTTGTGGTTTGTTTTGTTTTGCTTCGTAATTTTCTGCTTAAAGAACTGGCTCTGCTTACCTGGGGTGGTCTGTAGCCCTCCCGAGGACTGTCCCTGGGCCGATCTGAATCTGTTTTACTTCAGGACGGCAGTGGAGGGCCCAGAGCCGGGTGACCCGGCACTCCCTCCCGTTCTCAGCTCAATTAAGAAAAAATAAAGGTAACTCCTTCCAAATCTGCTTTGTATAGCTCCAACCTTTTTTCTAGTTTCACTTGCTGCCTTTTCTATTTTATGGGTACTTTTGATAGGACTACTTCCCCAGTGCAGCCAAAGGCCAGTCTGACAGAACCAGGGGCACACAGCACCTCTGCTTTGCCCTTTGGGGAAACGTTAGCAAGACAGTCAGCCTCTTCTAATGGCTGTCACTATATCTCCATATTGAAAACCATTAAAGTCCTCACATATACGTGGGTCAGTGTATGTCCACTGTTCTCTTCTACGAAAACTGCTTGCTGTCGTTATATAGCGTACTGTTGCTGGGTCCTACGGAAACAAAACAGATCCTTCATACATAGTACTATCCACTCAAGTAGTGCTGGGACATTTGAAGCCTAGAAATTTGAGGATCCTCCTTAGCCAGTATGCATCAGAACAGAATTCTCCACTTTAGGGCTCTGCGAGGAGCTCTGGAGTTCCACGGGCTAGGTACGTGTCCCGTTCCATCTAGCTTTGGGACCCTTTAGAGAATGGTAATCAAAGCACGTCAGCCACAGGTTGGATTTAATGATGTAAAAAATGTTTAAGTTAACTCTGAGGTTAAAATGAAAATGTGTTTCAAATGTATGCTTTTAAATTTCTGAGGAAACAAACTGTGACATCGCTTTAAAAATGACATTCAACTGTTCTGTGTGTGTTTTGAGTGATTCTGTACTGGTGCAAATTCACTGCTGGCAATGGCTGTGCCAGTACTAAAGAAAGTTCAATTGTAGGGACAGCTGTGTGATCCTTAGACTGATGTATTATGTAACTAGACAATCATCATCAAGCAAAAACAGTCCAGGAAATGTCCTTTTTTTTTCCCCCATGTCAGCTATAACTTAACACCATTCTAGAATTATTTTGGAATCTGTTTTACTATGGCGTAAGTTGGGGAAGGGCCTCAGTCTGGTGCTTGCACATTTACTTTGTGTAGTGATGGAAGCCCAAAGATGAGTCACATTCAGTGCTGTATTGAAACCAGTTAGTGCAAAAAAAGTTTTATCTTTGTAAATTTTTAATTGTTCACATCAGTTAGTAGCTGTAAAAACATACACCAAATTCTCTAATGTTGTGTGGTTCTTGGTTGTGCTACTCTTGACATTGCCGTCCTTACTGCTTGGTTCTTGGTTTTAAATAAAAATTAGATGTAGCCCATTGTCTTACTCCCATAAGGGTACAGCGATATATATACATGGCTCAGTGATCTCAAGAATACCTACTTTTCCTAAAGCCAATAATAAATTGAAATCCAAACTGATTTATAAAAATGAGACAGACATTTTGTAGGTATTATCTTCTGCCCAAATCCTAAATTGCACAGAAGCACGAAGAGATGATGAATGGTTTCAATGGTGCTATCTTAGGTTCTCTGCTGATTTTCATGAGCTGTGTTTGGAAGTAGAATATATATGCTGTAAAATGTGGATCATTTTGCTACCAACTTAATATTGCCATTAATTTGGTGTTACAGTTGGTTGCACTTGTTTTTCAGAGCTGTCCTTCGAGAAGAGACGACATGTTTTATTAGCCTACCTCCACTCAGGCCTCTTGGTGTGACCCTTTCTCCAGGTTATGATGTGCAGTGTTCTAAAACTCCATGTACTATTCTTAGAGTGCTCTTTCCCGTAGACTTCTGTAATGTATTCCCAACCTAAAATCATAGCAAGAGAGCCAAGCAGTAGCATTGGTGGTTGTTGGGTTTTTTTTGGGTTTTTTTTTTTTTTTTGGTAAATGTAAAAATAATTAGATCCAGACTTTGTTTCCTTATTCAATTTTAAAAATAAAAATACCTCAGTGCTATGTTTTTCAGTATCACCTGCAATTTCTCAGAAAAAAAAAAATAACACCCGCTTTATGTGGCACATAACTTGTAAGAATCACATTATTTTGGATTTTAAAGGAAGACTATTAAATATTTTAAAATCAATACCAATGACATTTCCTTTCTCTTTATTCAGCAATGGAATCTAACTGTATTAGCGATTTTTACCTTGTAGCTTCAAGTTGGAGCTACCAAATTCTTGGAGTGGTACTTCTGTCCCAGTACAAGGTTGTGGCCCTCAGAAAGCCATGCCGTTACCCCCATATTAAGCTCGTTCTTGGGCCAGGCTGCCGTCACTGCGGCTCTAGGCTGTGATGGCACCAGCCGTTTTCTAACAAGGAATTATCCTTGCTGTTCTCAGAAAAGAAAGAATGTAATTATACTGGCTTGCTTGCTCTGTTTATAACAATCTAAAGCAGTATTAGGGGAGCGATGGTGTGGTCTAGGCACTTAAAGCTGAAATTTCTTTGAAGGGTTTTATCTTCCCAAGCAGACATTGTGTTTTTCTACCCTGTAATTAACACTTGTTATGTTAAAACAGACAATCACCATTATAGATGTCTTTCCCACAGTGTCACTACAGAATGCTTGCTGCATTGATTTAACTAGATTTTTCCACAGTCTCTTGAAATTACAAATTACGCATTGTGGACTTTTGAAATAGCTCAGGAAACCCGATCTGCTCTGGGTCTACCATTCTTGCTTCACACAAGGAACAGAGGAGAGCTTTTTGTGGAAGACATGCCCATCGGATTTAAGGAGGCTACTAAATAACAGTGCTAGTGCACATGGTAATAGAACAGAGCAGGCTGGGAGGGGGCAGTTTGTTGTTTGGATAGAATCAATCATAGTCAAGTTAGAATCTACTTAAATGACCGTGATTACCAAAGTTACTATGATAAAACAAGGCAGCCTTACATAATCAAGGATTGCGGGCTCTAGAATTAAACTGTGGCTCCTATATTTTAGCATCAGCTTTAGAAACTGGTCTATAAACATTACTACTTTGATGAAATACAAAGTTACAAGCTTATATAACACGCAAGGGAAAACAAGCTGGTCATACCACTTTTATTTACATCGTATCTATGGTACATTGTTTATTCAGTATAGAAAAAATACGAATACACTCATAGTATTCTCTTTTAATTTAGTAACTCCACATTGTCAAATATTGACTGTTTTTTATATTGGGTTTCTTACCCAATTAGAAAAAAAGGGAGGGGGGAAGGAGAATGGACCTGGCAAACATTTCTTGCCATGTTATAACAGTAATATGTTCCTCTTAAAAAAAAAAAGAAACTGACTTTTTAAAAGACTTGTGATTAAACTGCTTACTGGCTTTAAGGAAACATTTTAAAAGATAAAAATCAATTCATTCCTACCTCAAGAAAAATGTTAAGGCAAACATCTTAAAAAACAGCTCAGTGATCCAGATAAAATGTATCTTCCTCATAAAGGGGTCAGTGCTAAAAGAAAATCAATGGTAGACTCCATTGCACAATGGTTCTATGTATACCCTCTCCCACAAATAACTAAAAAAACAAAACAAACAAACAAAAAAAAACGGCGACCATATTAACATAATTGTGCTGGTGAAAAGAAAAATCCACACTTAGATGTCAGGGTTCTTTTAAAAATCCATGTTGCAAATAGAATCAATGATTATTTCTTTTGGACATAATACTTTCATTAAATGGGTCAAACTCGCAAATCAGTGCTACAAAATACAGTCTTTTCCATCACTTTGTTACAATGTACAGTATGTACATAAAGACAAGAGTTACCTATCTTAAACTAAATACAAATTAAAAAAAAACCGGCTTGTTAAAAACCTGAATCAGGACTTATAAACAGTGCAGAAAATGCAAACGCCAAAAATACGATGCCTCCTATGATCGTCACTGTAAGAGAAGAGAAACAAAGTGAAATAAGGCAAAATTCCTCCATGACGGAGCTAAGATGTCGTCCACTACTCTTCCAATCTGGTAACGGCTGAAAGGAAGTTAGAAACATTCATATCCCATCAGGTGAAGCAGAGCACACTTAACACGCCAGATTGTACGTACAGTAAAAATGCACTGCTTCCCCAGTGCTGCCCCGAGAAATGACGGTATTAAAATGGAGACCGTGCTGATATGCAATAGTAACTCATCTTAAAACCCAGTCATTAAAAAGAATGTTCAACAACCTCTGACAAGCAAAGAGACTTGTATTCCATTTTTAGGCCCTTCCAGCTACATAGGAATTCTCCTAGGTGGAATCCATAAACACGGTCTCTACCTACGGATCCCAGTCTTCTAAGACACAGCTTTAAGGCCAGAAAGTTTTATTTCCATCATGACGATTGTTTTACTTACGTTGATAAAAAGCTACCAAAAACCCAGTAAGGCTTTTAGGTGGACTTTATTTTGCTAACATCTACGTATGTGAAAAACCGTCCGTGTTTGCAACAGTGGTGGCATTGAACTAGACCTCTTTAAGAGATCATCACTGCAGAGACCAGGTGTACTCCAGAATAAAAACTAAGAACCAGCTCCTCTTTTTCTGATCTCTTAGCAATTCTAAGAGTTATAACAAATGGTATTTTCTTTGTAACTTAAAGCACGGGTGACTTACCAGTTCTGACAGAGATTTTCTGGGCTATCATTCTTCCTCCAATCACTGCCAGTCCAGTGCATAAGCAGTGGCCCACTGTCCCACCCACCGCTACGCCGTACGGGTCCTGGAAGCAAGCATAACGGACATTAATTTAAAGCAGTTGAAACTGAGAAAGATGACTATTACCCACTGAAAATGGAGATGAAGAACAACAAGGCCTAAAACAGTTCTGAAAACTCAGGTGTGTCCGTTATGAGAACTGTAAGAGCTGCTTGGAGGAATTTGTTCCAATTATACCCAGGAATCAAGCTAAAGGCAGAAGAAAAATTTCTAAGATCAAAATAACCCCAATTCCACCAGACAGCGGTAGTCACCCTTCATTCAGGCGATATTTAGCTCTTAAGTGACAAGTGCTGAGGAGATTCACCCCAGACCTCTCTTCCCTTTGTGAGGAAACAAGCCTTTACACACCCGGCTTCCCTTTCTCTCCACTGTGTCCTCAGGGCTTTAACTCCGAGCCAGGAACACTCCCTAAATCCTTGCTACCAAAGCAAACTGGAAGCCCTGAGACTGGGAAGACCAGTGAAAATTTTCCAGAGAGGATAGCTCTGAAGGACTAGCAGGAAATTTGACTCCGTTTTGTGGAGGAGAGAACATGCTAGAAAGCAAAAGGCCAGCAATAAGACACAACTGCAAAACAGGTCAACAGACATTTCCAGAGAGAACCAGTGAGTCACGAGAGGTCTATCCCATGAGCGAAGGTGGAGGCCAGCTCGCGAAGGACCCTATCGATTCGCTTACGGTTTAGGTGTCAAGACACCGGTTAGCTTTTAGCTGGAGACTGACCGAACAGGAGGCGTAGACTTTAAAAGTCCAGTGCGGAGGATGCACTGGAGGGGAGCAAAGAGGAGCGCTGTGGGGCCTGTGGGTGGCTGCGGGGAACTGGAGCCCCAGATCAACCTTTCTGGTGAGGTCAGAAAATAGGGTGCTGTGCGTTCAGAAAGCAAGAAGGTAGAGCAAGCGGTGCTTCCCACCAGAGCAGGCCCTTCGGGACTCGGGGAAGGGAGGGGCAGGGTGGCCTCTGGAGGGAAGCAGAACTGAGGAAGGGCTGAAACTTCAGATGAGAAAGACTCGTGCGTGTAAAATGCTCACAAAATTGGGCTGGGAGAAAGGCAAAGATTGAAGCAACAGAGTGGGGACCTGGAGCTGTGATCGGGAACCCAGCAGGGACAGGACTGCCACTGAAGAGTGGGGACGGAAGAGGCGGGCTCCTCCGCGAACGACAGGTGGCAGAGCGGGGCTGCGTTGCTCAGATTCTGTGCACTCAAACTTCTAGGCTGGCATCCGTGAAGATGCTGTCTCTCTCTTTGAAAACGGTGCTTGAAAGGTCGATTTAAATTAAAGAGTTCCTTTAAAACAGAAGTTTTTGGCCTTTGTTATTTGCCAAATTTATTTGACGCTGGAACCTCATCCCCCACTTTTTTTTTTTTTTGCTTAGAACCTAATCAAGGACACCAAGTTATGTTGGAAGTAGAAATAAAAAGAGTTCAGACTAAAATGGACTGAACTACGGGCAGGGGCACCTGGGTGGCTCAGTCAGTTGGGCAACTTCAGCTCAGGTCATGATCTTGCAGTTCGTGGGTTCGAGCCGCGTCGGGTTCTGTGAGGCTGACAGCTTGGAGCCTGGAGCCTGCTTCGGATTCCGTGTCCCAATCTCTCTCTGCCCCTCCCCTGCTCATGCTCTGTCTCTCTCTCTCTCTCAAGAATAAACATTTAAAAATTTTAAGTAAATAAAATGGACTAAACTACACTTCAGCATAATTTATATAAAAAATTACCCAAAAAATGTTAGGACTATTAAGGGAAACCGACAAGCCATACTTCTGCCCCTGAAGAGCTCACAGTATCCCCACGGTGCTGGTAGTGTGGAAAGTGGCTAGCGGCACTGTGTCGGGGACCCCACGTGCATCGTCTGGTTTCATCCCCAGAACAACCCCATGAAGTAAATGCCCCATTTTCAGACAAGGAAACGGTGCAGTAACGTGGACACACAGCAGAGGACTCAAATCTCGTCAGGACACACCAGGCTGCCGGAATGCAGCAGACCAAGGGGCCCACACGGGCGTCCGATCTGGACCTTTCACAAGTCACTGCCAACACAGATGACAGTAGTAAGAAAAATGCAATGATTTCCACCATTGTGATGGCCCACACTTGCAGGACCACCACCACCAAAATGTCACTAAGTTCAAGTCCCAATCCTGGCAATCTGAAAGCCACTAAAAAAAAAGGCTAGAAATGAAGAAAACTATAGGGCAAACCATTACGGTGGCATTTAAAAAGGAAGCTTTAAAATACAGGACTCAAGTGAAAAAACTAAGTTCCTTTTTTTCTTTTAATACAACATTTTTAATGCTTTTCTAACAAAACAGCCCTGCCAGCCCTTCATCCTGGCCTTCAACTTGTTTTATTATTTTCTTAATCTTTTTTCAAAATGTTTTATTTATTATATTTGGGGAGGGAGGTGAGGGGCAGAGAGAGAGGGAGAGAGAGAATCCCAAACAGACTCCATGCTGTCAGTGCAGAGCCCGACACGGGGCTCGATCCCAGGAACCCATGAGATCATGACCGAGCTAAAATCAAGAGTCAGACACTCAGCTGACTGAGCCATTCAGGCTTCCCTTGCTGTGTATTTTAAACTGTGGCCTAGGTTAAGGAACTTGCTCTTTGGTGGTAGGACAAATTCAGGACAAATTCAAATCGCGCTGGTTATCTAAATCCTACCATCAGATAAAAACAACGTAATTTAACCAAAAACACACTGTCTCAGCTAAGATCAGGAAGAGCCTGAAAAGTAGCCACAGCCCTGTATTTCACAACCATCTCCTCTGCAGGTCTTAACAGACCCATGTGAACAATGAGACACCTCATGTAAAACTTCACTAATTCTTCTCTGTAGAAATAAAGATTAACATTTTAAAAGCAAACAAAACCCCCTCAAAAGCTAGTTTTTGCATAAGTGGCGTCTAACATCTACGAACAAAATATGGTAGAAAATGCTAGAAGGCAGAGAGCCTTAGTTTCTAGTCCTCGCCACTGCTCCCAACTGGCTTATGACTTTGGACGAGTTGCCAGGTGTCTGTCAGCCTCAGCTTCTGGATCTTTAGAGCAAAGGGCAGGACAAGGTGATCAGAAGTCTCCCCTAGCCTGCCATTCCAGACCTGAGTATTCCGGGGCTAAGATCAGCACACTGTATATCCAGAAACAAGTCAACTGCAGCTGCACTACCCAGAGATGAGCACTGGGGACATTTTGATTTCCTGAATCTTCCATTCCATTCCAATATTCTCAGAGCTACACAGAAATTAGTACGTAAGTGAACTAATGTCCCCTGAATAATACTTTGTACAGCAAGCCCTGAAACACTGAAGGTCTAAGAGAAGCCAGAAAACCGAGTTGAGACGACCGCCACGGTAGCACCGCGGCAAATGCCGGAGGGCAGAGGGGTCGATGGGAGGAGTCCAAAGACAGCAGTCGGGTTGGGCCACAGAACCCCATCGGCCTGCAGAAGCCGGAGGTGGTTCATTTCAGGGAGAATCGGGATTATTAGGTCTACAACAGTCCAACATAGCAAGCAGTCGCTCGGCCCCAGCGGGCTGCCCAGGGTCCCGGCGCGCAAGGGAACGGTGTTAGCTTAGGTTCACAGTAGTACAGAAGCGGTCACTTCTCAAGTGTTGCTCACCTCTCTAGCTGCCAACACAATCGTCGTCAGCTGGGAGCGGTCCCCCCATTCGGCCAAGAACGTCAGTGTGAGAGCCTGGACGAAGATGGGGGAGATGAAATGCAGCCATCTCTTCTGGGGTATCGTAGTGCTTGCGCCCGTTTCGACATCTCCCGGCCCATTTAAGAGTTTAGTTCGCTGAAACTAAATTAAAAAGAAAAAAGAGAACAGTCCCAGGAGGCAAATCAAGAGAGTACAAAATTAATCTTTCTTTTAAAAACTTTAAATTCTAGGGAATATGTTCCAAGAAACTAAAATTATGTGACCCCAGGGGCGCCTGGGTGGCTCAGTCAGTAAGCCTCCGACTTCGGCTCAGGTCATGATCTCCCAGCTCATTGGTTCGAGCCGCAGGTTGGGCTCTGTGCTGCCAGCTCAGAGCCTAGAGCCTGCTTCCCAGTCCATGTCTCCCTCTCTCTCTCTGCCCCTCCCCCGCTCACACACTGTCTCTCTCTCTCTCTCTTAAATATAAACATTAAAAAAACAATTATGTGACCCCAAACCTCTTTTGAACCACCGGTCTCACACAGCAACACATGCTATATTCTCAATTATTCCATTCCTCCACCACAAAATCAATCTTTACTGATCACTGACTACCCTAAATGCTGTGCGAAGAAACCTGTAAAATATAAACTCCAGCTCCTGCCTGGCAGGAGCCTGGAACCTCCTAACTGAGGAACCTGATCACATGAGGTCACCGTGCACGCCGGCGTCCTTCTCTACCGCACGCCCGGCCACCCGGCATCTTACCGCAGACGGGTGGAACAAGCCACTCAAGGAGCCCACGCACCACACGGACACGGATGCCCGGGAAGCAGCTCCGGGCCACTTCGTCTCGGGAGCGCTTTTCCGGTCCCGACACTCAGTAGCGCCATGACTTACTTCTTCATCTTTTTTCTTTAATTCTGCTTGAACTTCTTCCAGTTCCTCTTGACCTTCATCTGGACTCATCTTTAAGCCTTCTCGAAGCATTCGAATGCCAAAAATGGCAAATAATGCGGTGGAAACATAGTACGTATACACCCGGGGGATGACAGTGGTGGCATAGCCGAACAACACTGGGAGAAAATGCAGCGTACGGACAGTTAATTAGCACGTCTCATAATTTGGGTTAGGAGACATCACAGTTGAACCCTGTTCTCAAGAAAAAGCTCATCTAATACAGAATAGCCTGACTTGTTACACGTCATGTCAACTTTAGGGAGGAGGTTAGCTCTGATGCCCGCGAAGGAGCCGGGCATCTTAGAACCATGAAGTTACACCACTTTCATACGGAAGTGGTATTTCTCCATCACAAATCTTTAAATTGCAAACTTCTTTAGTGAAGAATCAGGACAAGATTCTCAAATGATAGGTGTGATTCAAACTCTGCTCCTTTGTAATTGCTTCAATATATCTGATAAAACAAATCATTCCTATAACCTGCCATAAAATAACACTTACAACAGGGGCACCTGGGTGGCTCAGTCTGTTAAGCCTCCAACTTCGGCTCAGGTCATGATCTCACAGTCTGTGGGTTTGAGCCCCGGGTCAGGCTCTGTGCTAACAGCTCAGAGCCTGGAGCCTGCTTCAGATTCTGTGTCTCCTTCTCTCTCTGCCCCTCCCCCACTCGCTCTCTGTCTCTATCTCTCAAAATATAATAAAAGACATATAAAAAATTTTTTTAAATTTACAACAGACTCAAATTTATTCAGTATCATTCTTTCCTATCACTAAAGAAAGAGGACCACTGTATAAGTTGTACACAAAAACTCGGAACCATATCAAGAACCCAAATCCTAACTGTGAAATGTTTACACCTGGGTTATCAGTTCCGTATTTAAAACTTAAGAACTATAAAAGGGCCAAAGGAGATTTTCACACAAGGAATAAACGCAATTACCCTTTACTTTACATGCTCTTTATAAATTGGGTTCAACACTTAAAAATCTGCACGAACGCCAAATGTATCAATGCACAGGTAAAATAGTCCCAGGTCATTAGAATTACAAAATTGAAGATTTTAAAATCAAGTTCAGAAATATACCATATCTACACTTCTGTGTAGGTCTACATTCTAATTCTATGTATGAATACGTACATTTGTGTATACGTTTATGTACACACACAATACAGACCTATTATTTTCTGGCTCTATCCACTTTGAAAAGGCCACAAACCAGATATGTCAGTCATGAGCCCACTTGACATCTAGGTCTTGGTGTCTGACAACGCTCCCCAAGAAAAGGCTCCTCAGAAAAACGGCTAATTCCAGGCCTGGGCAGACCAGGGACAGGCTGACCCTGTGTTATCTTGTATTAGAAAGTCAGGAGGAGCAGAAGCAAAGGTGGGGCCATGACACAAGGCCACGGGGGGCAGCTTGGAGGGACTCCCCCTGCTAAATCGGGGAAATTTTAAGCCATATAATTAGGTAATTAATTACAACGCATTGAAAAAAAAAAGGAATCCCCAAGTTTATACTGACAACAAAGAGACAAAGCCGTGGGATGGGGGGAGAACTCTGTGAGGGGAACGCGCCAGGGCCCGCTGGCCCTCGGGATGAGCTACTAGACTCAGAGAGCCATCATTCTGCAGTTATCAAGGTGAAGCTGAGGTCATGGAAGAGTCATCAACCCAGAACAGTGGGGAATAGGGTGTCTGCACTGTCTTATTTAAAGTGTCTCTCTAAAGACTGCGTATTAGTTGCAGGGAAAGAGAAAAAGACAGAACACAAAAAAATCTTGACGTCACTGAGGGACAGATGGACATCTTGTTATTCCAGATGGGACACTCTCAGGGGGACTGCCTATCACCTACACAGTATTCTGGTTAAAAATGCAGAACCTTAATTTAATTATGAGGAAACAGAAGAGAAACACAAAATGAGGAGCAATCCATCAAAACGGGAAGGGCTGTATTCTTTAAAAAAATGTTAATATTGTAAAACACCAAGAAAAGGCTGTGGAAGTGTTTCAGATTGAAAGATTAAAAAAGAGGGGTGCCTAGGGGCGCCTGGGTGGCTCAGTAGTTGAACATCTGATTTTGGCTCAGGTCATGATCACACAGTTCATGGGTTCAAGCACCGCGTCGGGCTCTGTGCTGACAGCTCAGAGCCTGGAGCCTGCTTTGAAATCTGTGTTCCCCTCTCTCTCTCCCTTCTTCTCTCAAAAATGAAATAAACATTTAAACAAGTTCTTAAAAAGTGGGGCACCTGGGTGGCTCAGTCTGTTGAGTGTACACCTACTGACTTCATGATCCCAGGTTTGTGGGGTCAGAGCCCCAGGTGGAGCCCTGCGTTGAGCCCCATGCTGTGTGGAGCCTGCTTAAGATTCTCTCTCTCTGTCTCTCTCTCTCTCTCCCCCCACCCCACCCCTCTCCTCAGCTCGCACATTCTCTAAAATTTAAAAAACTTAAATAAAAGAAAAAGACTAACAAGACCCAATGTGATACCTGACTTAGACCAGCTGCTTCTCTGCAGGAGGGGGGAAATGCTACAGAGGATATTAAATCAACGGACAAAACTGAAATACAGATGGTAAACCATGTATCCGTCTATCCATGTATATGATGATATATATGTGTACCCACGTTTTGTATCTGTGTATAACATGCACGTCACATATATGTATAAACATATATTACGTATATAACTACACATATAATTTTATTTAGATATAGATAGGTAAATCCCAAATGCTAAAGCACTGGGGGCAAATATTAACAACAATGAATTCGGATAAAGGTGTATAAGAGTTCTTTGTATTATTCTATTTTTGAAACTTTGTAAATTTAAAATATTTTCCAGAAGAGGTTTTAAAATTTTTAAATGGAATGTAGTGAGCCTTTTCAACTCTCCTAAACTCAGTTTTCCTTCTATCTTCAGATAATCTTCAAACACCCTGACACTCACTGATATAGTGCCATTTTTTCTGCCTGACATCTCCACGGAGAGCAAAACCTACTTGGCCTTATAACTTTTTCCTCTCCTGGTTACTGTCCCTCTAGTTCCTCTTTCTTTGGAAACTTTCCCTCAGACACTTAAGCACTTTTGCTCTGGGAACAATAAGATGTTACTTCTCGTTAAGCAAGGACTTTGCAACTAGTCAGAACAGAGCTACAAATGTACCGGTCCTTCTAAATCGTGGCAATGTTGAAGTCCCAAGAAAAATCTGGAGTGAAGATAGAGACTTGGGACTCACGGACTTTCAGGTAATTAAACTGAGAACACCCCGCACAAGGACATTAGCGAGAAGGGGAAAAAATGGGCGGCAGAGAAACCTGTGGGAGACATGAATATATAATGGTACGTGTTTCTGCAGAGAGACAGAAATATAATAAGCACATGGGGTCACAGAAGCCAAGAGAATAAAGAGGTGGGGATACCCATGAATGCGGCCCATGGGCGCTCACTGAAATGAAAACTGAACTCTACTAAGAGAAGCTGGTTACTGAAGCCTTTGCAAAGGTGTTAGGAGCAGAAATCAGATTACAAGTGGATACGGAGTGAAATGAGAGAAAGGCAGTGAGGAGGAAGAGCAGCTGTAATAAAACTCTAACATGGGGGTGCCTGGGGGGGCAGGGACTCAGTCCATGAAGCATCTGACTCTTGATTTGGGCTCAAGTCATGATATGGTTCATGGAATTAAGCCCCGTGTCAGGCTCTGTGCTGACAGTGCGGAGCCCACTTGGGACTCTCTCCCTCTCTCTCTGTCCCTCCCCTACTCACGCTCTAATAAATAAAAACATTTTACAAAACCCCTCTGAAGTACATAAGCTTCTCAGCATGCTGGTGTCCGATGGCACACAGGGGCTGAGCGGAACCCGACCCCAGGCGGCCTGCCTAGCACACCCAGCCCTCCACTGACGCAGGAGAAACCAGAGCTGCGAATGTGCAACCTCCGAACTGGGACTGACATACTCCCAGAGATTCACAAAGACTTCACAAGGGGACACGGGTTAATATTTTGCAAAAGAATCTATTCCCTGAAGTTCAACTTCCACAGGTACTCTCTCCTAAAACTCATCTGCCTAAAACTCGCTTGTGGTTAAGGAGTTTTGAGGCCCCCTTTCTCACACCCCTTCTCGTTGCCGTCTGCCTCCTTCACAAGGATGCCTTTGACCCAGGCTTCTATGGTGCATCTCCCCACAGTGTGGAAAAACGGCTGTTCTCGGACAGCAGAGAGGGCGTCTCAAATACTGGTGTCCTCAATCAAAGCATAAACCAGACACAGGGCCCTCGGTCTTCCCTGTCTTAATGCGAATTTCTGGTAAGGTCATGACATCAGAAATAATGGCCCTACATTTGCTGGAACTAATGGTCACGGCATTAGAAACGGGGTACCCGGGCCTTGACAGGAATCACAGTTTTCACTGAGAAATCGTGCCTCTTTCATTCCCCAGCCAGTGTAAAACAATGCACGTTCCCTAAGGCAGAGTCTTGTTACGGGAAGCACAGAGCATCAGAAGGAAATACTAAAGCCCTTGGTGTCTTATTTCGCCCTGCAGCACTCTCATAGCTGGGTGCCATGCCTACCCCAGCCACCCATCACCCACTTTAGAAGAATTCTAAAGCAGATGGTTGTCAAGGGGATGTGTATCATGTTCACTGAAATTCAAAAACCAAGTCAAATGCTTTGACAGAGATGACTTGCTGTGGACCTACCAGAACTGCTACAGCTACCAGGTAGTGTGGCAGATGTTTCCCATAAATTGAACGAGCTAAATCTGCAGCTCCAAGGTTCTGACAAAAATATACTTAAAATATGTGATGTGAAACAATTTTTAAATAAAAGCCTTTACTGGCAAAAGTACACAAAATGAACGATATTTCAATTTTCTCAATTATTTCTAAATACAACCAAACAAAGGACTCCTAAGTAAAAAACTAACATGTAGAGGTGCCTGGGTGGCTCATTCGGTTAAGTGTCTGACTTCAGCTCAGGTCATGATCTCATAGTTCGTGGGTTCAAGCCCCGTGTCTGGCTCTGTGCTGACAGCTCAGAGCCTGGAGTCTGCTTCGGATTCTGTGTCTCCCTCCCTCTCTGCCCTTGCCCTGCTTGCGTTCTCTCTCTCTCAAAAGTAAATAAATGTTAAAAAAAAAAAAAAAAAAGTAGGGGTGCCTGGGTGGCTCAGTGGTTAAGCATCTGACTCTTGATTTCAGCTCAGATCATGATCTCATGAGTCTGTGAGATCAAGCCCCACCTCGGGCTCTGTGCTGCATAGCACAGATTCTCTCCCTCTCTCTCTCTGCCCCTCTCCACTTGTGCGCAGTCTCTCTCAAAATAAAGGAGTAAGCTTTAAAAAAATAAAGATGAGAATTGAGGCTAAACCTTGCTTAATTCTATCAACAGAAATAGCCATCCAAGAACATATAAGCTAATTTTAAAAGAATAGTTCTATAATTTCATTAAGAGATGCATTTCTTTTTTTTTAATTTTTTTTAATGTTTTTTATTTATTTCTGAGAGAGAGAGACAGCGTGAGCAGGGAAGGGTCAGAGAGAGAGGGAGACAGAGAATCTGAAGCGGGCTGCAGGCTCTGAGCCAGCTGTCAGCACAGAGCCCAACACGGGGCTCGAACCCACGAACCGTGAGATCATGACCTGAGCTGAAGTCGGCCGCTTAACCAACTGAGACACCCAGGTGCCCCAAGAGATACATTTCTAAGCTTTAAAAAATATGCTGGGTACTATGACATATTAGCTAAATATATATAATACAAATGTATTTAGTTTGTGATACAGTTTGCTTTGATCAACTATACTATTAATAACTATAACTTAATCTGTAAAAAATACTAACATTTGGAGACTTAACAAAAGAAACTGTATCTTTTAAAATTTACTTTATATGCATATTTTTGCTGCAGATAAATGACAGTGTGACCCATAAAAGATCTTCAAGCAAAAAGTTATAATCACTAGGGTAAAATTCTATGAGGAAAACTATACCAGAAATTAGGTCTTTGCAACCCCTTAAACTTAAGATGACAAGTTTTAACTAACTTCCACATGAGAGGGGTGCAGGGTTTTTCCAAATGACTTTGTAGACACAAGGAAAGGGCGTGTGGACCACCGCTCCAGCCAGAAGTTTAAAAAATAAAATCCTCTGATATTATTCATACTCATTCCCAACACGTGACTTCACCATTTACAACGCTCTCCACTTTTCCTACTTCCTGTATCATAATGCTTTAACTTCTAAAATAAGTAAAGTGGGGGCACCTAGGTGACTCAGTCATTTGAGCGTCCAACTTCGGCTCATGATCTCATGGTTCATGGTTTCGAGCCCCACATCGGGCTCTGCTGACAGCTAGCTCAGAGCCTGGAGCCTGTTTCAGATTCTGTGTCTCCCTCTCTCTCTGACCCTCCCCTGCTCATGCTCTCTCTCAGAAATAAATTTAAAAATAAATAAATAAATAAATAAATAAAATGTGTACAGTGGGCAAATTATTTTAGTCAGTAAAATACTTATTTATTTTAGGTTAAAACAACGTAAGCTTTGACAGGGGTCCAAGCAGCCAGGAACAGAACCTGTTCTGTACCTGAAGAACTAACCTTCAGATGTGAGAGATGCCGAGGGGAGGGGGACTGAGCACCTGAAATACAGGACCTCACGTAACCCACAGCACCGCCGTACGAGGGAAGCAGGCTTTATCCGCTCTGCTCTACGGACTCGGACCCTGAAGCTCACAGGTTAAGGAACTTATCATTAGGCCAGTACCCAGCATCAGGCTCCAATCCAAGTCCGGCCATAAGGGGCAAGCTCACTCCTTTCTTCCCAGCTCGGGGTGGCTTCTGATGAGACTCCACTCTGTTTAATCACTTTCTGTTACGCTTACTTTTGCATGGTCTAATTCTCTGAAAAACTGAAGCCTATAGAACGGAAACAAGAACTGCGAGTCTAAGAACATTTCACCCCTTTATCATAATGGGTAAGAACAGCTTAACCAGACACAATAAACTGAAAGTGACTCCTCAGTTACTACCAAATGTCCTTCAACAGTTACTGGTTTCCAACATGTCCCTGAAATGTACTTGAGTCCTATTGCTAAGATATCAGATATAAACCTATCTGCACTGAAAAGACAAAAAGACAAAAAGGAGGGATACACACGCCCGTAGAAAAGATAAAAACGAGTGAAAAAATGAGGAGTATGTGTCTTGGCTGTGAATAGCTGAAAATTTAATTTTAAAAGCGCAACATGGTTTTCAGTGGTTTATGTACTGACACCACTTTCCGTTTACTAAATTCTGAACTCTAGGAACCAAACTATAACCCAACTAGCTGGATGATTCCATGACTCAATGCCCCATACGATGCTTTCTCCTTAATCTAGTCAAGTCATTAGGAGGAAAGAGCACACTCACCTGATAAGCACGTCATCAGGCCCAGGGCAAGCATAGCCCCAGCCAACACCGTGAGACGGTTATAGCGCATGGCCATGATGGCAGCTATGAAAAATGTCTTATCACCTAGCTCAGATACAATGATAACGGATATGGCAGCGACAAATGCATGGATAAATCCCAAATTTGTCTGGGTAGCAGGATCTTCTTTATTGGAATGAACCGGGGCAGCTGGTGTCAATCCTTTCTGAAATACAAAAAAAATACATGTATGTATCAGCTACTTATTGTAAAAACTCATTATTTAAAATTGTTTTGTTTTTGAATGTGAACTAAGGTTTTTTTTCTGTCCTGGCCATTAGACTTATTTCCTACCTAAGCACTCTGAAAGCCATTTGTTGTTGTTGTTTTCTTTCTTAACATTTATTTATTTTTGAGAGACAGCGAGAGACAGAGTATGAGCATGAGCGGGTGAGGGACAGAGAGAAAGGGAGACACAGAATCCAAAGCAGGCTCCAGGCTCTGAGCCTGACACAGGGCTTGAACTCACAAACCAGGAGATCATGACCTGAGCCGAAGTCAGAAGCTCAACCGATTGAGCCACCCAGGCGCTCCACTCTGAAAGCCATTTGTAATGACCAAAACCTCTAACTGATGGATGCTACAATGCAGATCCAAGTACAAGTCTACAAAATAATTTTTTTTAAATTTTTTTAAATGTTTTTAATTTATTTCTAGGAGAGAGAGAGACAGCATGAGCAGGGGAGGGTCAGAGAGAGAGTGTGTTTCATATTCTGAAACAGTTTCCAGGCTCCGAGCTGGCAGTCAGCACAGAGCCCGACGCGGGGCTCGAACCCACGAATCGCGAGATCATGACCTAAGCGAAAGTCGGACGCTTAACCGATTAAGCCACCCAGGTGCCCCCAAAATAATTAAAAAAAAAAAAAAAAAGAGTAGAGAGCAGCTATAGCCACATATTAAAACTACCTTATTTTCTAAGTATTTGCGATTTGATATTTAGTTCTTAGCTATGTCTCATTCAAATTTTTACTTGTAACTTGAGTGGAAGAGCCAGGTATGTTTATCAAAACATTCAAGTAATGGAAAGCTGAGAGAAATTCCTTTAACACTTTACATGACAAGTAGGACCCAGAAAGCTCTCAACAGACTAGAGCAAGACATGGCTCCACCTAACATGAGGTTTAATATAACTGGATATACAAATATATAATTTATTCAACACCCAAAAAAACTAATTTGATTAAAAATGGGCAGAGGACCTAAAAAGGTATTTTTCCAAAGACATCCAGATGGCCAACAGATACATGAAAAGATGTTCCACATCACTCATCAGGAAAATATAAATCAAAACCATAATGAGATATCACCATAACTGGTCAGAATAGCTAGAATAAAAAAGACAAGAAGTAACAAGCATTGGTGAGGGTGCGGAGAAATGGAAATGAATCCTCATGTACCTGGGAGGGATGCAAACTGGTGCAGCCACTGTGGCTCTATTAAAAACAGAACTACCCTGTGATCCAGTAATTCCACTATTGGGGTATTCACCCAAAGAAAACAAAAACACTAATTTGAAAAGATATATGCACCTCCATGTTCCATGCAGCATGACTTACACTAGTCAAGGCAGGGAGGCAGCCGGAGTCCGTCAGCAGATGGATGGATAAAGATGTGGTACACACACAACAGAAATTAATCGGCCATAAAGAAGTGAGATCTTGTCATGTGCAACAACATGGATGGCCCTAGAGGGTAATATGCTAAGTGGCATAAGGGAAAGACAAATACATATGGTTTCACTTCTATGTGGAAAACCAAAACAAATGAATAAACAAACAAACAAAAAGCATGAACAGGCTTATAATTACAGAGAAGCGATGGCTGCCAAAGAGCTGGAGGTGGGGGATGGCCAACGTGGAGTGAAGAAGTTCCAGGAATAGAAGGTACAGCACAGGGAAGATAGCCAGCCTACTGTAGTAGCACACTGTACGGTGACAGACGGCAGCTATACCTGTGAAGCAGCAAAACAGTCCTCAAGGCCCTATGCCGTACACCTGAAACTAACAACACTGTGTCAGCTTCAATAACAAAATTAAAACTATTAAAAAATAGACATAGTTAGCTGGAGGTATGGGTGGTCCTATGCTAAAGTCTAAAAATATCCTAGGAGGTATAATGTGGTCTAATAAAAAAGATAAACCAAAGTCTTGGTTGGCATTAAGGTCATTTTAAGCTGAAAATATGACCAAGCTCAAACAAGAAACAGGTACTTTAAGTACCCGAAACAGGGACAAATCATTATTCTGTGCTGCTCAGCTCTTACCCAAACTTTGTATAGTTCTGGGGCAGCGCCTACCCCCCCACCTCCCACAAAGATCATCCCAGACAGAAGAGGCTCTAAAACCTGGGCCTGGCAAGCTACCATGGGCCAAGTCCAGCCTGTGTCAGTTAAGAGTGTTTTTTTATATTTTTAAGGGGTTGCAAAAAATAAAAACAAAGAGGGATAAAAGGAGGAGGAGGAGAGCTGGAAGAAAGAAAGGAAAATTATGCAACAGAGACCTTAAGTGACTTCAAAACCTAAAATATTATTTGGCCCATTAAAAAAAGTTTGCCAACCCAAATAAGGGATTAGGAGGGACTAGGTGCCTATGTTCCAGTAACTGTGAAAGTCTCCACGTGTGTATCTACTCTGTATGAGCCCAAGAAGCAGAACTAAAAAGTCCTGGGGGGCGGGGGGTGGGGTGGTGCCTGGGTGGCTCAGTTGTTTAAGCCTCTGAGTCTGGATTTTGCCTCAGGTCATGGTCTCAGGGTTCGCGAGTTTGAGCCCCGCACTGGGCTCCACGCTGACAGCTAGCTTGGGATTCTCTATGTCCCTCCCTCTCTCTCTCTCTCTCTCTCTGCCCCTCCCATATACATGTGCTCGCTCTCTCTCAAAATAAATAAAACTTTTAAAAAGATGTCACAGGTGGCAGTTTTGAGCTTAACACAGAGAAAAGATTTCTACCCCCAGACAGCCACTGAAGCTGAAGTGGGCGGCTAGTGAAGGCGGTACATTCCCTCCTCAGTGTCGGCGTTCCAGGGACAAGAACGACCACTTACAGGAAATGCACTGTGTCCGGGGTCTGCAGCCTGGGCCATTTTGTCTCCCAGAGGTCTTTGGCAATGTCCAGAGACACTTTTGGTCATCACAGCTGAGGGGGACCTACTGGCAGCTGGAAGGCGCAGACGCTGCTCTGGACAGGACATGACGCACAGGACAGTCCCTGCCCCGACACAGAAGTACATCAGTAGTCCCCAGGCTGAGGCACTGCGGGCTAGATAAATCACTTTGAAACATCTCTTCCAATCCTCACAGCCTATCTTTAATTTTTAAAGCCCATGAATCTCTAGAAACCTAAGAGATTAAAAAAAGGGAAAACAACCCAAGAATATACATGATTTAACAAATTTTTTAAAGTTTATTTTTGAGAGCGAGCGAGCATGAGCATGAGTGAGGGAGGGACAGAGACAGGGAGAGAGAGAATCCTAGGCAGGCTCTGCCATGTCAGCAGGGAGCCCAATGCGGGGCTTAAACTCACAAACCAGGAGATCAGGACCGGAGTTGAAATCAAGAGGACACTTAACTGACTGAGCCACCTAGGCGCCCCAGAACACATGTGATTTTTGACAGGGTAAAAACAGAAGTACATTTTTTTACAAAAGGTCCTACTCAGAGATGTCAGAGACAAGAATAAAATCCAAATTCTAAGTGTGTATGTCATTCCACAACTAACAACATAAACCTGTCCCATTCCACCATAATGATCAGCAAGATGTAAGCATTTATGAGCCTAGCACTTTGAACCACAAATTGGGGAAATTTAGCATTTTAGAAGATATTTGGTGTTAGGACTAAATCAAAAAGGACAGCCTTGGAACTCAGCCCTTGATTAAGTACCATCACAGAAATTCTGGCTTTGTCTCCATTATGATTTTAGTTCCATCTATGCTGATGTTTCTTTAAAACTGAGCTTCCTGGGCACCTGGGTGGCTCAGTCAGTTAAGCGTCAGACTTCAGCTCAGGTCATGATCTCACAGTTCGTGGGTTCGAGCCCCGCGTCGGGCTCTGTGCTGACAGCCAGCTCAGAGCCTGGAGCCTGTCTTCGAATTCTGTGACTCCCTCTCTCTCTGACCCTCCCTCGCTCACGCTATCTCTATCTCTCTTTCTCAAAAATAAATAAAACATTAAAAAATTTTTTTTTTAAAAATTGAGCTTCCTTTCTCTTCAAATACTCTGTACTCATTAGGCATCATAAAAAAAAAATAATAATAATAAGCATTCCAACTAGGCTCTCATTAATGCAACCATTTTCCTCTCAGACATACCTTCTGTATAAAGAAACTTCACTGTAAAGTCTGTCATCTGAAATCCAAAAAAATGTCTAGGAATAAATATACATTGTATATGGTCAATTAGCTCCAAGCTCAAACAGAAAATGTTTACTTTTAAAAACAAAACAGTGACCAAAACTATGTATTTTTATGGCTTTATAATCCCCTGCCATAAAGGCTTGGCCATGTTACTTAGCCTCTCTGTTGCTCTGTGAAAAATGAAGAGGACAAAATAAAACTTGCCTCATGAGTATAACAAGACAAAACAAAAAACTACAGTCTTAAAAAACTTACTCTATACAGGACACAAGAAACCCAGCTTGCAGCTTTTATCATTTAATAGTCTAGTTCTGGATATCCAAAAAGATACTGTGAAATCACCAACCACGGTGAAAAGAATTTAAAATCAAAGTATCAGAGTATTACAGGGGTCAATTTTTAAAACTTAAAGTGCTAATAATGGGTCAGAAAATGATCGACTACCATTCATTTGCTGTCAAACGTCTAAGTACTTACTGTGTGCAAGGAGCATCCCATCTCCTTGTTCTAACCCCCCTTCAGGGTGACTTGTGGTGGTTTAATACGTGGCTCTGCTACCAGAATGCCTGGGTCCAGCATGACCTTGGGCCAGGAGGTCTGCCTCCCTGTTCACGTTGCACTGTAAGATGAGGAGTGCCGACACTTACAGGCTTGCTGTGACGACTGACTGACTCAGTACACATACGGGTGTTAGGATGGTGCCTCGGACACAGCGAGCGCTCAGTTACTAACAGATATCGCAGTACACCACAACGTGACCAGTTTAATCTTTGTAAAACCAAGTTCATCGTGTTACCTCGCTATTTAAGAATGAGG